TGCAATTGGAAAAAATAACTTAGCTTGATTATTTGGTGCTGTAAATTTCATGGAACTGAACGTCTCTCTCACACCTTTTAACCAGGTCCAACACTTGAGGTACCACACACAATTTGCACTCTTTTGCACTTGGGACAGTTATCGCGTTTAGAATCGATTGATTTTTTATTATTTTACGGCGTTCGCCAGTTATCACGTTATACACTGCTTAAGAGAGATCTCGATGAGCATATGCTTACACTTCAAGCGTCAAGAGCATGTTCTTATATTCATATATTTTATTTAAAATCAAATTAATTGTAAATGCAATTGGCTGAAGGATCTCGGTCACTAGTCATTTGATCTTGTATTGTATATGGATCAATAAATACATTTTTATTATAATTATTATTATTAAAATAGAGCAACGAATACGATTGGCATATCTATAAGATTAATTTTATGATAAATTAAACTTAAATATTAAAAGTTAGACAAGAAAAATAAAATAATGTCATACATTATCTTGGAGCAAAATATATGCATTAAACAAATGTTTGAAGTATCATTATTATTTGAAAACTGCAGAAACTCCACACAAGTTCACACAAGAAAACACAATAGTATAGGTATTGTAAAACGAGTGTTATAAAGGGTCATTGTGATACCAAGTTATTTTGCAGCACGACTGCGAAGCGGAGTGCGGCAATATCCCAATAAGTCAATGTAACACAAGTTTTTCATACTACTTTGTTTATTTAGATCATAATTTGACAATAAAATTATATAAATTTAAAAATCAAGTGGTTTAATTCATGTTACTAGGTTGGCACAATTGACGTGAAGCGAAATGTCACAATCATGAAGTACTAGATCATGGAGCCTACACAAGGAGCCCGAACTTAATAGGGAAAATTGTCAAAACCTGCCCTCTAAATTGCTCAAATTAGGTCTTTTTTTTCACCACCAGCGTCTGCTCTGGTAGCGTTTCGGTACAAATTAGTCAATTGTTTCAAAACAAACGGAACACCAGCGCCCTCTTATCTTAGGAAGATTCTTGTTTACATGAAGTTGTGTAGGCTCCATGTACTAGATACCTGGAGATCAAGCTCAGATGGAGGGGTCAAGAAATAATGGCTACAAATCCGTCCGTTGAAATGCCGGACTGCCGTACCTAGTGCCTTTGTGCGCACGCGCTAGTCCAGCATTCATTGCATAATTAATTCTTAAAACGTTCTTAAAAAGTTCGAATTTGCGTTTCAAGGGTGCGGTAGCTCTATGAAATAGTTTTTGAAAAATTAGTGACCCAGGAGAGGCAAAATTGGATTCCCAGAGTAGAAACACACTGGTTATAATGAAGAATATATAAAATTATATGGAAATAATCAAGAGATGGATCGGATGATTGAAGATTGAAAACAAATAGAAAATTCTGTGCATCAAGCCATGTGTGCATAGTGAAAGTGTAAAGATGACATGGTTCTATAAAAATTTAACAAAGCAATAATAGTATATAAATGATTCAAGGGATGAGTTAATCTCAGACTCTCTTAAATCATTTAAGTTAAATTTGACCAGCACATTATATTTTTTAAATTTTATTTAATGTTCAAGGATTAAATAAAATTTTAAAAATATAATGTGCTGGCCAAATAGCGATTAAGTACGCTAAAGGCCAATAAATCTGAAGAAGAAGAAGTGATTCTTAAAACGCCATCAATTGCGGACGGATTCGTGGCCATCCCCTCTACCCGAGTTTGATCTCCAGGTTTCTAGTACTTCAAGGTCACAATTAAATATATCAAAATAAAACGTCAAATTTTTGTTGTCTATTTCGATTCTTATAAAGCCCAGATGATTTTATTTACATTTTATAATATAATTATGATAAACCGACACAGAAAGACGGGTTTTTAACACATCGTTGACATAAAAGTTGCAACAGTCTAAAATAAAAAAAACCTTATTTTGGAGGAGCTCTTAGTAGCACTAAAAACGATGCGTCTAAGAGCTCTTAGCAGCATTATATACAACTGTATTATACCAACCAATAGATTATATCATAGGTATAACTTTTCTGTAATTTAACAGACCTTGTATAAATAAATTACAGAAAAGTTGCGTAATTACAATCTTAAATTTTAAAAAAGCTAGTGTTTCGAAAAATATTTTATCGTTATAACTTTCTTATTCCTGAGAAGTTTGAAACAAACCTTAATCTACATATTTATCCAATTTCTTTGCTACTTTTTAGTTAGGTACCATCACCATCTGGCGCCTTCGAGGGGTAAACCACTTTAAAATCTTAAAGACAACTGTTCAATGTTAATGGACGTTGTGTTGAGATTTTTTTCCTTATCAGTCGTTATCAATAAGGAAAACTTGCTTAATCGGTGCTTAATCAGTGCTTAGCGACGCGTTGTACATGACTACCCTTATTATTGTTATCCTTAGCCGTTAATTCGTAAGCGATTTTTAATTTTAAAAAATCAGTGGTTTACCCCTCGGGCGCCTTGGCGGTTATGGCAACTTATGTAGCTTGATACATCAAATCATGTAAAATTATAATATGGCGGCCATACATGGAGAAAAATGTATGTTAAAAAACGCAAATTAAAATTTATATAATAGTAAGTAAATAAAAATATTATAATCGTCTTATGATTGAAGTTATGATACTATTGATTAAATAGTATTATATCATTTATTAATTTTACATTTTTAACTTAATATTTTATCCAAATTAATATGTTAAAGCGGTTTAATATAAAATATTATTATATTTACAATATATCTTAATTATATTTAACATAAAATATAATAAATACTATTATATTTCTAATATCATTTATTATATTTTTTCTCCGTGTAGGAAAAACAAAAGATGGTGGTGGTATCTCAAAATCCAGTAGGAGAAAAAAATTGAATGTAGATAAGTGTATATTATATATACTATATTAACCCTTTCGTACGCTATGTCCACTGGAGTGGACATTTTTTTTAACACCATTTATATTTTTAAATATTAAATATTTTGTCTCAAAAACATGTTGTCCATTATAGCGGACTAGACATAAAACACAGTAGATGACCGTATAATTACTTGACCTCTCTAAAGTAACTTTGTCCATTCCAGTGGACATGTCCTATTATGAAAAAAAATAATGAAAAAAATTTTTTTTTTCAAAAATATCTTAAAATAATACCAATGAATGCAACTATAACGAAAAAAAAAATTTTTTTTCAGTAATTTAAATTTGGCTCCGAAAGGGTTAACATGTAAAACTTACTTTTTTCAAAATAAGGAATAACGAAGTTAAACCGATTTTTGGTTTTGACAGGTTTTAATAATAATATTAATAATAATAGACTTGTAATTACAATGCAACTTTTGTCTAATTTAACCGACCTTGAAACTCTTCAAATGAAAAAAAGATACCCATATATAGAAGGATACTTGGTGCACCCTGTATTATGAGCTGTTTAGATGCAAAACTTACTGTTTCATACATTGTCAGTTCCTGGATATCTAAAGAAATCTGTTTATTATAATATGAACTAATTTTGACAGCTGACGACGGCTCTTTTTACATTCCCCCAAGATTTCGACGCTGTCAACTATTTTCGACGTATATTTGAACACCTCTACTCCCAGAATTTCGCGCTCTGTTAAGGGTTCTGTAAAAAGTGTTCTTGGACAAACCATAAAAATGTTAGGTTATGTTATTTATAGATGAGAATTGAGACTAACCCACAAAATTTTATATTGGGATAAGTGTCATAAAATGACCTACTACTAACACACACAATTTCATATTGGAATATTTTCTTAAAAAATAAAAAAAAATATAAATAATAAATAATAAACCATATATTTTCTAATAGCCAATATTTCAAACACCTAAAAAATATATTTTTAAAATCGGCTACATGGTCCAGTTACTGGACTCCAGTTTCTAGCAAATAGAAAAGCTATTCTGCCGTGCTTAATGAAAACGCCGTAACCAACAATTTTGAGATTTTTGTTTTACGGCATTTTCTACTAGAACAATTCATCCTGCGTCTATCCACTGTACTCAAAAAACCGTATCTATATTTCATATATATTTTTGAGTACCGGGGATAGACGCAGGATGAATTTTTCTAGTAGAAAATGCCGTAAAACAAAAATCTCAAAATTGTTGGTTACGGCGTTTTCATTAAGCACGGCAGTATTGAAAGGATTGAGTGTTTGTTTGGCAATTATAATTATTAGACCAAATTTTTTTAAAAGTTGAGTTGGATGTTCCCTTCACTGAGGGGTAAACCACTTTAAAATCTTAAAGACAACTGTTCAATGTTAATGGACGTTATGTTGAGATTTTTTTCCTTATCAGTCGTTATCAATAAAGAAAACTTGCTTAATCGGTGCTTAATCGGTGCTTAATCAGTGCTTAGCGACGCGTTGTACATGACTACCCTTGTTATTGTTATCCTTAGCCGTTAATTCGTAAGCGATTTTTAATTTAAAAAAATCAGTGGTTTACCCCAAAGATAATACACGGGTGTATTATCTTTGGTTTACCCCTCGCCCTCCACTATGTTTATTTTATAGGATAAATTAAATTGTATAAATAACTCGTTTTATTTATACTACCTATAAAAATTTGTTTAATGATAATGAAAGGCAAAAAAAAGTTATTGTTAAGAAATCAATGCGATTTTAAAAACGTATCAAATCCCACGTATAATAGGCATTAACAAACGGTAGTGTATTATTCAGTATATTGTAAAAAACCGTATAATATACACAGGTTTTATATATAAAACCTGTAAGAGTAATATACTGAATCAAACCCCACATATAATACGTTCCCAACCCTGGTGATTATTAAAATTTGGTAGTTGATTTTTCATGGAAAGTATTCACTTTAAAACAATTAATCAGCATACTTTGCTGATTGGTTAAAAATATTTATAATAATCTGGTATATAAACGAAACTTACAAATTTCAAAAAACACCTCATATATAGCTTTATACCTTTTGTGAATGTCCCTCTGTCAACTCAACCTCTTGGTTTTCCCTGCTGCGCTTCATTCGCTTTAGTTTTCTTTTAAGCCTGTTTAATTTCCTGCGTTTCTTTTGCAAACTGGACGCCTCGGTACTGGAAGAGCTAGTAGAAGAGCTACTATTGCTGCTAGAACTGCTGCTACTCGATCTTCGACGGTGCTTTTTGTTGCGCATGCGTTGTCGCTTGTGTTTCAGCCGCAACTTTAAAGGTAAAATTGGGGCGCGAGCCTCGGCATTTTCGGTAGAAGCTGCACATAAAATATGTATCAAATAAAACAAGTAATTATGCAGTTTAAATACTTATTTCTTAATTTTACCTTCTTAAGATAAAGCCAAGATTACATTTTATGATCTTTTTACTTTGAAATAATAATTGTTAATTGTTAATAGTAAGTAATGTGTAGAATATCACAATTTTGTAGAATATACTAATTGTACATCCCTGTTGTGCCAAATATTTGTGCGAACAAGTACCATGGAGTGCTTTAAAAATTAATTAATTAACTTAAAAACACAATAATACATTTTAGTATAAAAATGTCCTTTTTTAATTAAGTTTATTTTATCATACCAAGCACTTAAATGTACAGTGCTTGCAAATCCAAGTCCGACCGGTTTGGGAAGGACGCGTGAAAATAACAAGGATAGAACGCCAAACAGAAGGCGCTTACAATACGCACGCCTGACGCTCTGACCAATCAAATTCTGTTTTTCATTCTATCCTTATTCTTTTCACGCGGGTATTGAACAACCATCCTTCCCAACGCGGTCGGACTTGGATTTGCAAGAACTGTATAGATACGTTATTTTAATTTTTATTCAAAGATAAATTGTGTAATTGGGTTGGGTCCCAACCGTTGAAAAAAGCTATTTTTTAATGGATATTTGTAATAAAGCATACAAGTTTGTCATTAAAAACTTTTTTTTACGTTTCTTAAACAATTTTTGAGAACGCTACGCTAAAGCAAGATTCAAAACTCATCGATGACCTTGGAAAGATCGCGTGACGTCACGTTACTATTGGTGTAACAGGCGTGTCACGACTTACGAATAAAGAATATGCAAAAATAAAAAACAAACATAAACAATTTCGTTGATAGTTTAAACCTTTTTACTTGTTATAAAAACATTAACAGCGTATTTTAGTATTAAGTTCCTAAAATTATGTTTTAAATTTAGAATTCGCGCCTCTAGTACCGCGATTTAAATACTTTAAAGAATATTAACTTAAAGTAGAAAAACCCTGATTAAAATGTCACATAGAGACCCTGTTCAAACCGATAGATTTTTGTATCGGATTTTAAGGTGTTTCTATAGGGTGTATCAGTATGAATAGGACCCATAGTTGGGATTTATGATTGTTCTATAGGGATATCCTTTGATTTATCGGTCTCAATACGGAAAATACACATAAATGTAGAAGTTTTATGGTTGCTCTATAGGGATGTCCCTATACATCCTTCTTTGAGTTATTTGCTATCGGTCTCAATAGGGGAAATGTAAAAGTTATGGTGTGCCGATTTATATGCGTTTAGTCCTCAAGAGCAGCAAAGAATGGTATTTCCGAAAAACTATTTATTTTAGAAAATTTTTAAATTAGTTTTTATATGTAGTACCTAAATTTAATTTTAAATACCAAACAAATCAAATAGGAGTCAAAGTTCGGTTGTACTCGGTTTGGGAAGCATCGTGTCATTTGTTGTTGTTTCTTTTTCTATGGTTGTTTTGTTTTTGTCACAGATAAGGAAGGTTTTTGTGCCAAAATTTGTAGCTTTACTTCATTTTTATAGGTAATTTTATAGATAATAGTAACATGTTAAGTGCAGTTATTATAAATTATTATTTATTATTATTATTTATTTTAATGTAATTACACTGTATTGAAACCACAAAACAAAAAATGTACCTATGTTTATTATATCTTGGTTAATATTCTAGAATGTTTGCTTACGTAAACGTAGAATACGACCTACGTACTGAATGTAAAGTAATTAGTGCATATTTTTGTAATTTTCTAATGAATATTTTTATTTAGGTTCATCTAGGCAGGGCATCTTTCTCCAAAAACAAATTTATGACAGTGTTTGCTACAGTGCCCGCAAAAATAGTATGGATAGTATTTTTATAAAGAAAATGGCAATAGCAGTGTATGGAAGGATAACATTGATGCGGTCATTTGTGACTGGCGAAGTGTGTCATAGTCTATTACTAATAGAACAAAGGAAAACATGGAGTTACTATATAAATAAATATAATATATATATATATATATATATATATATATATATATAAATATAATATATTATAGGGCTGTATCGGGATTTATAGGAATTCTACATCTTTATTTGGTATTTCCATATACAGGGTCCGGCATCAGAATTGAACGGTTTTGAAAAGGCTGCTATGGAAATACTATTGATTTGGTAAGTATATGTCAAAGAATGACAGACTTATACCTTATTGCCGAAGGTTTCGTGTGCAATGTCAAACTGGCCGGTTAATCAACGGATCTTGGCTGTAAATTCGTTTACCCTGACCCAGTCCTTCGTACAAATGCAGAGACGCTTTCGTCGTGAATATAATTTTCCAGTGCCATAAAAAAATGCTATTTTGAGATGGGTAAGAGATTTTAACGAAAGAGGCAGTGTAAAATCAAAATTTTCCGCTGGAACTCGTACAGTTTGTACACAAGAAAATATTGGAAGAGTCAGAGAAGCGTTTGAGCAGCACTCGATTGCTCTACACATTTCAGACCGAAGTTTGCGACGAATGTTACATCTGGATTTAAAACGCCATTCAAAAAACCGACAGTCCAGAGGCTAAATCCCATTGATAAAGTCAATCGACTCAATTTCTGCACACAATTTTTAATTGCCATTGTACACGAAACTTTCGGCAATAAGGAACAAGTCTGTCACTATTTGACATATATTAAATCAATATGTAGTATTTCCATAGCAGCCACGAAACTTTCGGCAATAAGGTACAAGTCTGTTACTATTTGACATACATCAAATTAAGAGTATTTCCATAGCAGCATTTTTAAAACCGTTCAATTCTGTTGCCGGACCCTGTATAAGTCTATACAGGAGTTTTTATGTCATGTTATTTTTATCCGAAAATCCCTATAAAGTTCAATAGGGCTCTATCGGCATGTATGGGTCAGGAGACAATTCCCCAGAACCATATTGGTAGCGTATAGGTAATTCCCTGTAAATTTTCTAACGGGCCGTATCCGGAAAAAGCAAGGACAAATGCACATATTGAATCCGGTAGCGCCGATCGATTATTTTTTATAGGTCTCTATGGGGTATTTTAAGCAGGGAACATAATGCATTCGTAACATAAAATACATACTGTCTGTCTGTCACGATTTTGTCGAATTTCACCAATAGTATCATGACCTCACGCTATAGATGAGGGAACAAAGAGAATTTATCGATTTTTAACTGAAAATCGATAGCAAGAATTTTAGACTGCAGGGTGATTAGTTTATGCCAAGAAGACTAAATAAAGGAGGAGTAACTTTTTGACCACACGGAATCCTATGTTAAGCCTACGGATGCGCAAAGTGCTTACCGCGCATAGGTGTCATCCATTTCTGGTTGGGTGATTTACAATACATACTCTCATAGATACAGAGTATGAGCAAGAGCTTTTTTGCGCATCCGCAGGTTTCTACTAAAGTACGTACGTTCGTATTTTGGAGTGCCACCCCTAGCAAGTTACTCCTTCTGTATTTAGTCTTATCAATTTTCACTCGGCGTGAGTTGTCAAAGTTCGGAAATCCCTATTGTTAAACCCTTTATTATAGAAATAAATACTATTGCATATTTACCATGTGAAATTGGAGCCGGTTGTTCCGATATCAGTATTGGTTCGTCCGAGTCTGTGTTAACCAAATCGATGACGACGGGTTCGTTGGGGTTGGTGGCGCTAACTATGACGACATCGCTGTCCGTATCGTTATCCGAGACATCTATAAAAGGGGCGGGCGACGACGGCCGTTCGGTGTAGATCACGTGGCGATCGTATCCGATCATATCAAAGGGCGAGCGCATAAAATTGTAGAACTCGTGCACGAAATGGTCGGTCTTGTTGCCGAGGTACTCTTGAAGGATGGTACGAAACGTGCTGCTGCAGATGTGATAGCGCAGAAGGGATTCGAGTATTATGTCGACGAGACGCATTATTAGTTGCGTGTCCTCGTACAGAAGAGCGTTTAGTTCGCGGTTTAACCACGGCACTAGGCGGGTTCTGGCTCCGGGACAAGACCTAAAAATTACACCAAAAATATATTCCTAAGTCTTCCCCAGTATGGTGCAGGTCAAACAAGAATTACGCAAAAATACATTTTCATATTTAGATAGTAAAGTGAAAAACAAGTGAAAAACTGTTAAAATTAAAATCGTACCAGATTCTACACAAGTATAAAGCAAAAAAACAAAATGTGATTAATGAACAATTTTTAAATACACAAAATACCAGATTATAGGCATAAATAAGCAATATTGTTTACTATTAAATACCTAAGTTTCACACTATGTGATTTAATTATAATTTACAAAGAATTTGACAAAAACTCTGTAACCGCCCTTAAAAGAGAGGATCAGTAATGGAATTTAAATTATGGGTAGGCATTTCCCAAATAAGCCTACGATTTTTGACGTTAAAAGAAAAATTAAAACTACATAAGTATTGAAAAATAAAGTAATCATTAATAATTAATATTATGCGATTAAATATTTATGCACCGTTTCATTGAAACTCACTATGTATAAAAAATTAAAGAAAATTTTAGAGGATGTTTATTAGGGTGGGCCAAAAAAACCTTTTTATTTTTTTTTTCTTTAGTTACCATGAAAATATCGTCCAGGATAACGAAAAAAAAGTTCTGATAAAGTTTGAACTCTTAATATTAATATTAAGAGGTGGCTCATCGCGATTTTTTATTTTCCATTTAAATAACACGGGAAAAATACATTTTTTTTTCAAGCGGCCATGATATACAACCTTATATGCCTGTATAGAGATAGTTGAAGTGCGTCTTTTTCATTTGCGGCAGACAAAAAACTCAAAAAAGCCTAGGGATAGAAGTAAATCCATAGGTGTCCCAATAGACGTCAAATAATAAAATTAATTTAGCATTTCATACAAAGCAATCACGATGTATTAATTATATTAATTATAATCGCACGGAATATTTAGGGATTATTTATTAAATTTTAATTGAACGAAATAAAGAACAACTAGTTTATTAGTATAAAATTATGATGATAGACGAGTCGCCAATGTCGGAACTCCAAACAAATGTCAGTACGGCAAAATTAATTCAAGCGCAGCATTTTGACAGAGCAGGGTTTATTTTTAGTTTAGGCTTTGTTATCTATGGTTTAGGATATTTATCGGCATTGTAAGTAAGGGTTATAAGTTTTTTTAGTTTTTATCAATAATTTCTAATGCTTTTAGCCAAAATTTTATACCACATGAGTTTTGAGTAGATAAAATAATTCTATTTCTTATCCTATTTATATTACGCCCTTGAAAAAAAAATTGTATATGTTATTTGGAGTAGAAGCTCTTTTTGTGCTTCGTACAGTTGCCAGCCTCAGCTACGCTTCGGCCGTCAATCTCTGCACTCACCACAAAAAGAGTCACTTCTACTCCTTATGACATAATCTACTATTTTTGTTTGTAATTTTATTGCGTTTTAACGAATCAGTGAGTTGTAGAAATCAATACATATTCTTTTAGGGAATTGAACGAACTACAAAAAAGATCTGAAATGATTTTTTGCTTAGTCGACTCGTTTAAAAGTTATTTGAGGTTAAAGTTCAATCTCAAATAGTAAATGATGACTTTTATAGTTTTTCATACTCTATTACGAAATATTGGCTCAAAAACATGAAATATCATATTTTTCGTGAAGTTTATCGAGTGTTCTTCGGTAAAACAATTTACGAAATATCAATAATCGTAAAAAAAACGTTTTTTTTTCTAAACTTGATTTAAAAAAAATCTAAAATAATAAATATTCTATTTACACTTGATTATTAGGTAATAAAAGCCATGTTTCAATAATTTATCAATTAAAATAAAAAATGTTTTTCCATAACTTGTACTTTTTTCACTATCTTAGAATCAACATTTGTTGTACTCTTCTATTAATGCAACTCCTCTTTTTGCTACATCATTGAGAACGCTAAGACGTTTGAAAAATACTAGATTATCTCGATAGCTTTCATCCTGTGTGTAAAATTTTACATTCTTATTGATAAAGTCAATGGGTAAATAAAATATATTAAATATAATATAGATTTGATACTTATTGCGAGTAGTTAAAAACCACCGGCAAAAATATCCCAGTTGTAGTTTGATTCTAAGATAGTGAAAAAGTACAAGTTATGGAATAACATTTTTTATTCTAATTGAAAAATTATTGACACATGGCTTTTATTACTCTACATTACCTAATAGTCAAGTGTAAATAGAATATTTATTATTTTTATTATACTCAAGTAAAGAAAAATATTTGAATTTAAAAAAAAATTAAATATTGGAAAAAACCGTTTTTCTCACGATTACTGATTTTTCGTAAAAATTGTATTGTTTTACCAAATAACACTCGATAAACTTTACGAAAAATACGATATTTCATGTTTTTGAGACAATATTTCGAGTATGAAAAACTATAAAAATCATCATTTACTATTTGAAGTTGAACTTTAATCTCAAATAACTTTTAAAAAAGTCAACTATGTAAAAAACCTTTTCAAATCTTTTTTGTAGATCGTTCAATTCCCTACAAGAATATGTATTGATTTCTACAACTCACTGATTCGTTAAAACGCAATAAAATTACAAACAAAAAAATGTATTTTTCCCGTGTTATTTAAATGGAAAATAAAAAATCGCGATGAGCCACCTCTTAATATTAATATTAAGAGCTCAAACTTTATCAGAATTTTTTTTTCGTCATCCTGGACGGTATTTTCATGGTAACTAAAGAAAAAAATTAAAAGGTTTTTTTTGGCCCACCCTAATGTTTATAAATTAATGCAATGAGCCACAACCTTCTCATTATCGTGCTATTTGTCATTGTTGCTAATTTATATAAACAAATGCAGATTTAGTCCTATTTTACAAGCGGAATTAAAAAAAAGTAGGGAAAAGTCTAACCGTTTTAAATTTTGGTGCTCTCCTATGAGGCGCCATATGCATGTTTCATAATTATTTCACACGATATATAAAAGGTTTTGCAGGAAAAACAATATATAGGAAAAAATTACTATAATTTTGCATATATATATATATATAAGCTTTATATAAGTTGACACTATTCGAAAAAATATATAAGTTAAATTTACCACCATGCAAAGTTACATATAAAACTTTTTTCGATTAAAAAGTCCCCCAGCGATGGCGCTACCTGTTCATGATTTTTGTTTGTTTATGTATAATTACTTTAAATACTTGATTCCAGTAACCAGTTCGATAGATACATCGTCACCCTAATATTACAAGGTTGTATGTCAAGTTTTTTGCACTTTCCGACTTAATAATATAACAAGGTTGTATGTTACCAAATCTTTCTTTTTCAAGCAAAACATAGATGGAATTACCCATATTAAGTAAAATATTAGGAAAATTACGGAGGTGTATGTGCTTTAATATGTTTAATAAAACCAACAGAGGTGTATGTTTAACATATACCTTTGTTATAAATACTTTGGAAATAAATTAACATTAACAAGGGTGTATGTCCATTAGGCTTGTCAAAGACATTTTGTGAGAATTTACCTTAATCACAAAAATTACACAATCAACAATACTTGTGTAACGCAAATTTACAATTTGCATTGTTCTTTGTTTTTGACATACAAACATTTTAACGCAACTTTATGTGCTATTAACCCGTAACCGGTACTGTACGACTTTCAGGTCATAAACGGTACTAAGTGGTCTGAGAGACACCTGCCTTTTAAAATTATAATTTATATTATTTTTTTTATCTGAGGCTTTGGGGATACTAGGAACTATATATAAAGTTAGAATATCACCAAAAATAATACCTAAATAAAAGAAAAATTTAAAAAAATAGGTTTTAATCAAAACATGTACAAAAAGTGCAGTAGTGCAAACTTTGTGATTAAACTATAAAAAATATTAAACCAAACAAAATAAACCGATCTTTATTTCGAAGAATATACCTTAAAAAATAACATAAACAAAAAAAATTCAAATATATCTTTTTTAAACAGCAAAAATAACTGCTTCAAACTATAGCTGATTTTAACAATTATTTTTTCCGTAGTAACTTTTTTTTTTTTTTAATTCCTAAAAAATTTCAAATTCTTCACTATCTGACCTTATAAAATTATTTTCTATAGACTCTTCACAGACAAGTCCTGAATCGCTGCTGTGATTATCTTCAACGACATAATCACTATAATGGTTATGTAATATACTACAGTCATCTATATCACTTATATCAATGTCGATTTCATAAAAATACTACATTACAGTTTCCTTAAAGCCCTTCTTATCACTTTGGACACTTTTAGAAGGCCCTTGTTGCGATTCCATAAGGAATTAATTGTTTTATAAAAATTACGTAAACGGTACGCAGTGGTCTACCAGACACCTCAACACTTTGACTCGTAATAATTTGTCTGTTTGACAATCCAACTTGTTCAAAGTCTGAGAGCATATTGATAACTGCTTAACTTAAAAGTATTGGAAGCGACAGATTTTTAAAACAAAATGTGAGGGTGTGACAGCGCTTTGTTCGTTGATGAGTGTCTCCCAGACACCACAGTACCGGTTACGGGTTAAAGTGAGATTCTGAGTTCTGTGTGACATCTTATTTACAAGTGCTGTAATTAATTTGTTAATAATTAAATAATAAAAACATGGATGTCCAAGGTAGATCTAGAATATTACTAAGCGATTTTACCAAAGCAGAACAGTTCAAGCGTCCAGGCGGCAGTAGTAAATAAAACAGGAAAAAAAATAAAAAAGTGATTTTACCAAAGGACAAACTAAAACGGCAGTAGTTAAAAATTTAAAACAAAAAAAAAGCACAAAAAACACAAAAAAATTGAATAATCATGCTAATTTCTATTAACTGTATTTTTTTATTATAACATTTGTTTAAAGTTTTTGTATTTTAAATATTTTTCTTTTGTAGTTTTTATTTTTTCAGTTTAGTTCTAATTTTGAAGTATACGTTAATTAAAATATTTAAGTTAATTAAAATGTCATAGTTCTATGTA